ATTAGTGAGATGCACACAGCCAACCTAATTATCCGACACCACAGCCAAACCCTAAGCATGATCACAACAGTTTGCTTCTTATACTGCAATTATGTTCATTGCACTAGCAAAAGCTATAATTAAAAAGGAAATGTTTGCTCTGTGCGTGTTAGTTTATCTGTAAATGTTCAGGTATCTATGTGCATGCAAATGTGGATAAATAAGAACAAATAAATGCTGTATTCTTTCAAGTAAACCACATTAGTTGCAGCTCCTCTGTCTTCTGATTTCTCTTTAATTGCAAAAAACTACAAGTGTTTTTCAGGGCATTAGAACAGGATCTTTGCTGTGCGGTACATGGATGCGTAATCAGTTTCAATCGCATAGAGAAATCCACCTCTATTCCAAGCATTTTCTGCAGTTAACAGTGTGTTCAAGGCTGCTGCACCACAGAGAAGACACAGAGGTAAACTGGGTCAGATGGCTGTGGTTGTGATTCCATGATGTCAGTAGAGAGGGGTGATGAGATATGCGAGACAGTGAGAGATGTGAGAAAATCTGAGTCATATTCTGTTCTGCTCTGCCAACATCTTACCTGAATTATTTGAGAAATTAGTCATAATTGCAGGGTAAAAACCAGTGTTTGCATATTCTATTATAAGAGCATCATTGATGTCCCCGTGGGGGAGGTTGGGGGTTTTGGGATCTGGGATGAAGAGAACATTTTTATTTTTTCTAACCAGCAGGGGGCAGTGGAGCTGCAACTATGTGCCTCTATACTGAATTTGTGTGTGTGTGTGTGTGTGTGTGTGTGTGTGTGTGTGTGTGTGTGTGTGTGTGTGTGTGTGTGTGTGTGTGTGTGTGTGTGTGTGTGTGTGTGTGTGTGTGTGTGTGTGTGAGGGGTTAAGGCTTATTCCCTGTGGTGAGTATTCCCTTCAGAGCTTCACTCATGGGCATGTCAGAGTACGATCAGTTTACTGTAGTGACATTTGAAATGAACACAAGCCGACCACTGATCATGGCACATGAACATGCTGGATGGTGGAACATTGCCATGTGTGTGTGTGTGTGCACATGTTTTTGTGTGTGATCATCACACTCATTTGCATACAGAAGTGGCCAGGGCTCTAGTGTCCCACACTCCAAAGTCCTTGTGCAGATTCGGGGACGTGCTCAAGTGTCCTCCAGTGTCTGGATAATTATAAGATTTCATCCCCACGTACATGTGATAAGACACATACGTGCTCGGCCAATGGCACCATCCCTAAAAGCTACATCTATCGTGGTTATACATATTGGTTACGCTTTCTATTTATGGTGCTTTGCAGAAAAAAGTTGCACTCACTCACTCTCTCACACACACACACACACACACACACACACACACACACACACACACACACACACACACACACACACACACATACACACACACACACACACACACACACACACACACACACACACACACACACACACACACACACACACACACACACACACACACACACACCTTCTATGTCTGTCATGTGCCTCTGACCGAGATCCATGGGAGAATATGAAAAGAGTAACCTGGCTTTTTGTTTCCCTTGGGTGTGCCCTTCATGATTCACAGATTCTTTCAATATCCCTCCTTTCCTGATATCTTTCCTTTCCCTATTACATTTTTCTTTTATGTTCAATGTTTTGCCCCTTTTCTTTCATTAATTTCTGTGCTACACTTAATATGACTTATATTCGTCAGGCAGAGGTCTGCTCATCCCCAAATCCACCTTCCTCGTCCTTTCATTCATTTCCCTCCCCTCCGGTTTCCTACACGTTTGCAGGTGGACATTAATAGCCTCCGCTGTATGTAGATGACACACTAATTAATCAAGCACACTATGCTGGCCAATCCAGTAATGGCCAACAGCTTCTAGCACGCAGCTAGCTGGCAATAACCAGTTTGTGTGTGTAGCAGTTGTTCCTAGGTGGATACATTTTATTACTACAAGTTGGTGAATTTGTGTGTGTACGTGCAATATTTAGTGTGAGAAACTGTGTTTAAAGGCCCGTTTTGAATTGGTCTGACTCCTCTATATGAAGCTGCATATTTTATGATAGTAAGGTGGAGATATTATGTAGTCTAGCCTCACTCTCACCTCCAAAGGTTATTGGACTCTTGCCACACATCAAATATGTTCCACTTTTTGGTATACCTCTTTCTATCTCTCCCTCTGTTTTTCTTCTCACTGGCACACTTCACCTTCCATCACATCCCTAGCAAACAGCTTTTTCTTAAAAAATAAACTAGATAATCATTTATATCTAAGAGGTCTTGCACTGTCCAAAATATTCAATGATTTCCAACCCTTCATTACAGCAATGTCAAGTTTGATCTGTTGCATTGGGAAGAGACTCTTAGTATGCACATCCTGCAGTTGCGGCTATCTGCCCAATGATAAATTTGCGTAATCTAAAAGGACTCTTTGATAATCATTTCCTTGTTGAACACTCCACAAACATCCAGAATACAATAATTTGTTTTGAATTTTGTTTATCACGTTGATTGAATTTTACAACGTGGCACATCAATGAGCCAACAAATCCAAATATGGACATAAACACATGTTCTCCTGTACACAATAACACACAAGCTCAAACACAAACCAAGAAGACTTCTCATTAATTTATTTGCAGGGAAGAGGGAGAGAGGGATGTGAAGGAGTGGAGAAGGATTGATGAGAAGCAGGGAGGTACAGGCAAGGTAATTAAAAACTCAAGCTACAGATGTTTCTGGAACACTTCAAAGTGATGCACCTGCCAGTGCCAGCGCTGGGCATGATGCATTATTGAGAAGGTGCCCACCTGGCACCTGGCGCTGGCATCACATGCCCGGTCCACCTGGCACCGCGCGGTCACGTTGGTGATACTATGGGTCACACCTCCCTGCACCAACCCAGCTCCCAGCGTGATGAAGGGCATCAGGGGAAACAGCACACATGCTCACACAGTTCTCAAAGGCACTAAACTGGGGCATGTGCAGAGTGTTAACGTGTAAGAGGGTTAGTTCATGAATGAAAAGTGAGGAGGCAGGAAATGTTGCAATCTCTTACTTGTTTGTAAGACGTGGCTAGATGTGAATATTTATTTGCTACCTACAGAATTTATAACTGAAATCAGATTTGATTTCCCCCCTTGCTTGTTGCTGTCTGTTTAGATTTACAAGTTGTGTAATGTTGAAGCAATATTGTGTTTTGTCTTGCATGCGGGGAAGATGAAGGAAAATTAAATGATGCACTACAACAATGTCATTTCCTATGCAGTAAATAATTTAAGCGCAATGACGATAATTCAGCAAAGTCTGTATAGTTGAGAGGAAAGCCTGGGAATCTTTCTGGAATTTCTACGCCTTTGAAGTAGCCTCCGGTGTGTTGACGCAATACCTTCTACTTAATATTTCAGGAGCCCCCTCAGCCTTGTATAAAGTATATTTAGAGGTCACTCAGTGTGTTTTTGTGTGTGTGCATGGACATCTGTGTGTGTGTTTCTCCTGCATGTGTCCCCTGACACCTGTACTCTCTCAGGGTGTGGGGAACAGACAGAGGCCAGAGCCACAGTCACAGGTCTCAGACCAGTGGGGTGTGAAATGAATCAGAGGGGCCAACACTCTCCCCCTGCTACACACACACACACACACACACACACACGCACGCACGCACGCACGCACGCACGCACGCACGCACGCACGCACACACACACACACACATTGACTGTGCGATAATGTTGGTGTGTGAGAGCAATGGAAAGCACAGACAAAAGATGAGAGGTCAGAGACAAGACACTATCCTACTCCGGCAGTGGCTCAGTCAGTAGGGGCTTGGACTGGGAGCTGTAGGGTTGCCGGTTCAAGTCCCAGACCAGACCTAAAATGTGGAGTGTGGACTGCTACTTGGAGAGGTCCCAGTTCACCTCCTGCCCTGCCGTGGTGCCCTTGAGCAAGGCACCAGACACCTCCCTTCCCCCCTCACTCCCATTGCTCCCCGGGCGCTGTACAATAGCTGCCCACTGCTCCTAGTACTAGACTCCTGGTACTAGGATGGGTTAAATGCAGAGGCCAAATTTCACTGTGTGCTCTGCATGTGTGACCATTAAAAGAGGGTTTCATCCCTCCCAATTCTATATTCTATACTCTGTTGTACAATTCTTGGATGAAATAATATCACCACAGTTAAAAAGATCAGTATAAATATTTGTGAATTAGTGTGGGATAACGCTGGTTTAGCTTCAACAGTTGAGTTTACTACAGTCCCAAAAGCTGGATTATAATACAATAAGGTAATGCAGGCGACGGCCTCAGCTCTGAAGCCCCCAGGAGCCCCAAAAGGTTCACTGCATGTCAATTGCTTTAGGTAATTTGATTAATTACAGATGTGTTAGGGAATTTGCACCAGAAAAGTCTTAGTATGTGTTGTTTTATTTGAAAACATAAAATTATGTTTAATCTTAGATACAGCTGTTTTTAAATGAACACCAATTAAAGTGTATTTCCAGCACACGAGTACTGATTGTACTGGGAAATATGGGAGTTTGGTTTGGTTGACAGGGTTCATACACATTGTACAGAGGCTCAGTAGGGGCTTTGTTTTTGCCCAAGGGGCCACCTAACACCAAAAATGTGTTTTATTTATTGTCACTTTCGGCTGAACTTGAATTGCTGACATTATTTTGTATTTTCAAAAAGGCTTAATTTTCTTTTTCCCTTTTAATCCTTCTTTTCATAGAATTGTGCGCTAGAATGTGTTATTGGCTCGAATTTGAAGCAAAACACTTATGTAAAAAGTGTGATAAAGTTTATTTATGTCAAGAGTTCATGTGGGTTCAAGCTCCCTTGATCACAACCTGCAACTTTTCCAAAAAATAATAAGCAAAAATGGTCCAGCAACAAGAAACAGGGCGGGCAGCAGAGAGCGTTCCAGGTCTATGGTTGGCTGAATCAGCTGTCAATCATCCTCCCCGACGGCTCCGCAGCACCTCCCATAGACGCACAGCGGCAGCGCAGCTTCCGACAATGATATTCAAGGCACTTGCGGCTCGTCTGCAGCGGTAGGAGAAAAAGAGAGGAGAAAGAGAGAACCTCACCTCCTCAAACAGCGAGTGAGGTTGAGCAAAAGAGACAGAAAGCGCCAGAGAGAGACCGAGAGGAAGAGACCGAGAGGAAGAGAAGAGGCTGTGTGGAGTTTAAGGAGAGACACCAGCGGCTTGGACCTCCAGCGAGGAGTGTTTAATTCATTGTAAAGTGTCTAATATCCGCACAGATTCGACATGTCATCGTCCGGTAAAGACAACAGCGGTGCCCAACTTGCCAATTACGTGGGACCTTACCGTTTGGAGAAGACGCTTGGGAAAGGACAGACAGGTTAGTTGGGACAGCTTGCTCACTGCATCCCCTTTTAATTGCACAATTTATTTTCGGAGCGCTCCGCAGCGAGTTGAAATTTGGCCGGCTGGGTGTCTGCAGGTGAATAACTAATAACCGCTTACTTGCAAACACCTGCCAAGCATTGTGGTGAATTATTTGGGGTTTGTTTTTTCTTCGGCGGTCTGACATAATCATCGTTCACACAGTGGGACGAGGGGGAAACGGAGGGGGGCGATTTAGTCGCTTTAGTTGCTTTACATGGGTTTGTTGGTTGTGCGTTGGCGTTGGACTGGGTGTGTGTATCAGTGCAACGTGGTGGACACCATCCAACGCCGAAAAATTGTGACAGTGTGATGTGCTGTGGAAATTAACTTTTCGTGTCCCCTGTTGGAGTGTGTGTGTCCTGTGATTGGAGCACAACGCCGTTAATCCCGATTTGCCTGATACATTGATCTATTCTTAGTCTTTAGCCAGGCAGGCACTGAGGCAGGCGTCTCTCCTATAGGCTCTGACTGCAATACGTGGGTTTCCACCGAAATAGAGGGTCCCACCTTGACAGATTACACCATAGTCTGCATACAGAGCTGGAAAAGAGCTACACTGATTTTAATTGTTTTACCCCAGGATATGTAACTGGGCTTCCTTAATAAGGAGCACATGCTTCATCTCAGCATAGACAGGAATGACAAAGTTGCATAGCACATGAGCAATTTATACAAGAGGAGTTCATTCTCTTAATATTTCATGCTATTTTTTAGGTGATGCTTTCATGTGTGTGTGTTGCCTATACAGTATTTCAGCCTTGTTGTGAGCATGGGTGCACAGTGAGAATGCAGCCAGAGGAGCCATGTGAAAGGAGAGGCAGGCACAGCCCTGTGAAGAGGCAGAGATGGAAGGAGTGATGCAGCATGCTCTGTAAGCCCACCACCCTTAAATAGAGAAAGAGAGACTCAGAGACTTTTCCTCTCCTCTTCGGTGAAAGATTTTCCTCCCATCTGCTGCCTAAAACGGCTACAATAGGCGTTGCTTCCCTCTACCCGCTCCAGCTGGTCATGCTGAGCTTCAGTGTTTGTGTGTGTGTGTTTCCTCAGACAGTATGCTTTCTTGAAATATTCTCCTCTGTCACTTCATTCACCTGGCGAGTCCCTCTGTGTTCATTGATGGAGTTTGCCTTCCCATGGTGTCAATGCTTGTGTATGCCTTACTTGGAATTTAGGTCGGTACATTTTATGTACACACACAATTCCCAAAACATGCAGCAATCATACTCTGTAGCTGAACTTGCAATGCAAAGTACCTGACATATCTGCGGCGTGATGCTCCAGTTGGATCTTTCCTAGCAAATGTAGTATTAACACACAGTGGCTTGTTTCCCTTTCTCCTGCTACTCGTATTTAATCATTTGTGTTTACAGGAGGATCTCTCACTCACAGCCGGACTCCACTCTTTTTCTGATAGCTCTCAGGAGTGTCGTCTAATGGCTGTTTATTGTGGCATAGAGCTGGCACTATTGTCTGCTAGGTACAGACATTTAATGATACAGTGACTCTGAGATCATGTACGGCTCAGGATCTATCTGTGAATGTCGAGGCAGGTTTAGATGCATTTTTTTCTGCCAGCCTCAGATGTCAGATGAATGGAAACAAAGTAATCTGCAGGTCAGCGTGGATCATGACTTTAAGCTGCTGCAAATCAAACAACTCTGACAAAATAATGTTTCACTTGGAGACATTTCGGATCAAATATATTCATTTTGAATGCTTTTGGGCCTGGTTTTTCAATTACACTTTCATGTTTAAAATGTGAAATAGCGATAATGGCGCCCAGCTTTATGCATGTGTTGTGTTAGAAAAATCATTTGGTTACTGGCGTCTGTGTGGCTGTTCCACGCCAAACCTATTCAGATTAATGGTGGCGCGTAATATCGCAGTCACCCATTAACCATTCGCATAATCTGTCAGATCTCTTTCCCAGGCCCCACGGAAAGGGTTGTCCCAGCAACTGTGTGCGCCCAATGGGCCGGGCTCGATGGTGAGTGGCAGCTGGGACCATCCAGTGGATTAAATCCCCTCTGAGCTTTCCCAGGCTGCATTTGGCCAGTATTATTAGAAGTGGAGAAAGCGGAAAGACTCTGGTTGATCTGGCTGTCCTGCTCAGAGGAGTGGTGCTGTTCCATGTTCATTAAGTGATTAGGCCATGTCCTGACTCACACACACACACACAAACGGCCACCACAATGCTTCTGATTTGGCTTCCTGATCTAATCCCCTACACAGCCAAAGTCTCCTCGGCTCTCACTCACATGCTCACGTGGTCCAGAGGTAGCCCACTGTAGCTTATCAACTTAGAACCTCTATGTTACTGTAGAAAATAAAATGCATGGGACAGATTAAATGCAACAACATAAGCAGTACGATGCATCTTTTTCAACATCTATTTTTCTGCTCTGAATATGATGAGAGTGTTTGTACCCCAGACTTAGAATCGGAGGGATGAAACCCTCTTTAATGGTCACACATGTCAGAGCACACAGCACCCACAGTGAAATTTGGCCTCTGCATTTAACCAATCCTAGTACCAGGAGTCTAGTACTAGGAGCAGTGGGCAGCTATATTGTACAGCGCCCGGGGAGCAATGGGAGTGGGGGGGTACCACTTGCTCAAGGGCACCATGGCAGGGCCCAGGAGGTGAACTGGGACCTCTCCAAGAAGCAGTCCACACTCCATATTTAGGTCTGGTCGGGGACTTGAACCGGCGACCCTACAGCTCCCAGTCCAAGCCCCTACTGACTTGTAGTGTGTATGATTCCCTCTGTATCAGGTGTGCATTGCGGACTGTTGCGGTCTATAGATATGGAGTGTCTGCATGGTCGGCTACTGATTGGGACTAAAGCCACAAAAACATGGTCGCCATCTTTTAAGCCAAACACAGTCATTGTGTTTGAATGGTTGAACTGGACCATGATTTTTTTTTTCTAGCAGAATCGTAGTGTATGAATACAGCAACATCAGGGCAGCTTCTTCGTACCTCTTGACAAATTGCCAATCAACTTTCTGTTTCTACCAAATTAAATTAGCCCCATGAGCTGCCTCTTGTATAGTGCACTTTGTTTGACTCACAAGCTTCGAACTTGACAACTGAGGAAAACATTTGTTGAAGTTTAGACCTCCCTTTTGAATGTTTTCAGGGTTTGGAAAAACAGCTTTTATGTGTTTAAGAATTGTAAAGCTTTGTTTGACAAGGCTAAAGATTGTGGTGTTGTGTTTTTTCCAGTGCCATGACTTAAGTCGAACTGAATCACCGCTCTGTTCCGCTAATGCTTCAGAAAACACCACAGTGATTTGCCTTTTTACTCTGTTCCTAAAGGCTGTTCATTATTGAATAGAGGCCTATTGTGTGGAAAACACTGCTTGTTAATCCAGTGTAAGTCCCTGTTTTTTTACGAGACTTAGATATTGACAGGCTAAGTTGGATGTTGACGTGTAGGCTCCTTGATTCTTTGATTGACGTGAAATCATCTGTGCTTCGGGGGCTTTCATATTGACTGTTCATCAAAAAAAAAAAAAGAGCTGCCTGTGATGTTGTGGTTTGCGCTGTCTTTCTCAGTTCTGAACCCTCTGTTTCTGTTTATTTACTGGAGTGTTATTGTTCTGGGTTCACCGGGCTTACAATGTATTTAAGCCAGGATCCAGCTGTTTTTGTTGTCTCCATGTCAGCAAAGGGCTCGCCAGTTTGTAACTCTTACTGAGGGTTTCTGTGTTGCTGTGTTTGTGTGTAAGAGGGAGCTCTCATTTGTCTTTCTTTTCATTTATTTACACATGAACACATTAAATGGACCGTTCTGAGAGTCTGTTGTATTGCACGGTAACGTAAAACCGTTAATTCGACGTTGATTAATAGCTGGTGAGTCGGGCATTGGTTAATTCAGATCAATGGGCACTCCCAAAGATTTCCTGTCTGGGGGAAGAGATCCATACTGTTTCGCAGCACATGATATCCTGATGATGACTAGTGAGGAGGGAATGCTCAGTCAATTCTGTCAATGAAAAACCACTTGGCAAATCCACAGATACTAAAGGCATCTGTGTGTGTTGCTTGGGAGCAGCGCAGGTGCTCAAACTCTCGGTGACCTGGAGCCTCTGTGTCATTAAAATAATCTTGATACCTGCATCGAGCTCAAACACAGGTGTCTATCTCCCCTGTGTTCACAAGATTACCTGGAAAAAGTTGGCAGCTTTGACCTAAAATTGGGGAGCTGAGGAAATAAATGAAAGGCTGTGATGATAAACCAATGTTTCCATGGGCCTGCTCAGAGATTGGAGTCAGAGAATCCCTGACCCAGGGGCTGTGTCGTGTTGCTCCCAGCTGGGGAGCACCCTGTGTTAGCAAGCTGGATCAGAGCTGTGGAGCAGGAAGCCAAGCCTGCATGGTCTCAGCTGTTTGACTGTGTAGCTAACGCCAAAGCACTGCTCCCTGAGCCCTGAAATGTATCCTAAATGGTGGGAGTGTAATGTGCAAGTGTGTCTGTGCCTCAGCTGAGGCATATGTAGGCTATTTGTAAGTGTTTTCCAATGTGTTTTCATTAACATAGAACCGTTGAGCATTATTGTCGTTTCATAGCGCGGCTAAGAAACTAAACTGAATCAGGATTTAGCCTGTAGTCTTTTCGTTGTTTGTGACTTCGGCTGAGGTTATATAATGATGATGGTCCCTGTCATTTAGTGGTCCCCTTCTCTCATGCGCCTCACTCCCTCGCTCTCCCTCGCTCTCCCTCGCTCTCCCTCGCTGTCCCTCTTCTGGTCAGTCAAGATTCATACAGGGATTCAGCCATGTGGTAAATCAGACAAGACCTCGGTGGAATTGCATCGATTGGGAGGAATGTATGTAGCCAACGATTTTCAGAGATTAATGATGAGGAAAGAGGTGGAGAACTGGGAGGGGGAGGAGAGAGAGAAGGATAAAGTCAAGAGGAGGAGGAGTGTAAGAAAAAAAAAAAA